AAGTGGCGCCTGAACAGGGACCCGGAGGGGTAAGTATTATTTCTTTTTCGGACGGATAGGAGTCTCACCGTAGGGTGCCGCTGACCCCCAGTTAGGAATACTGGTTAGGAAGGTGAGAAAGACGGTGTCAAGATGGGACACGCTGAGTCCAAGGAGAGGCTCTTGTTTATTGATATAGTTAAACATATGATAAATGGAAGAGGAATTAAAGTAACTAACAAGCAATTAACTCAGTTTTTTCAGTTTGTACAGGAACAATGCCCATGGTTTCCAGAACAGGGAACAGTTAATATAGAAACATGGCAAAAGGTGGGGCAAACTTTACAAGTATATTACAGTCATTTTGGACCTGAGAAGGTCCCAGTAGATACTTTTACTTTATGGAATCTTATTAGAGAGAGCATTGCCCCCTTGCCTGAAGGTCAGAAGAACCCATATAAATATCCTGCAGAAGTAATGGATAAATGTACTCCGTTACTTTCCCCAAAACCGTCAAAAGAAACTGAGGTTTTGGCTGCTGCTTTAAAAGACTGTAACCTTAATGATAATGACTCAGAGGAGGAAGATGAGTCACCTACTGATAAAAACTCTAATTTGTTAAAAAGTCCTCCTTTTGATGATGAATTGCCTCCTGCAGATCAGGATGATTTAGATGCTGCTGCATATGATTATGAAAGAAGGAAGTACGAACCCCCTGGTGCTTTTTCAATGCAAGAAACTAAGAAAAATAGACCTAATTTACATGACATGCGTCCCTTGGGTCGTTTACCGACCGCACCACCAGCTTCACTTTTTCCTCTAAAAGGGTCAAGAAGCCGAATTTCAAATGTCGGAGGTTTGCCACCTCCGCCACCTTTTAATAAAGGTCAAGGCGAACATAAAAGACATAGGAGAATAAACGGTGAGGATGATGATTATGGTTTTGATGATGATGTATATTGGGATCCCTTGCCTCTAAAACTTTTAAAAGAACTTAAAAAGGCCTGTATAGATTATGGACCACTGGCACCTTATACCATGACTCTTATAGATGCCTTAGCAAATAGATGGATGACTCCATATGACTGGACTCAAGTTACAAAAGCCTGTTTATCAGGAGGGCAATATCTGCTTTGGAAAACAGAATATGAGGAACAGGTGAATAAAGAACATGCCTTAAATAAGAAGAGGGATAAGTTTAACATTACTAAAGATATGCTATTAGGCCAGGGAGAATATGATACAGCCCAACAACAAATGCATATGGGAAAAGAGGCCTTATGGCAGGTAACTACGTGCGCAGTAAATGCCTGGAAGTCTTTGCCTTTGACTCCAGGAAAAGCCTCCACCTTAACAGATTTAAGACAAAAACCTGAGGAGGCATATGAGGATTTTGTTTCTCGGTTGTTAACAGAGATAAAAAGAGTGATAACTGATGAGGATGCAGCTAACATACTAGCTAAACAATTAGCCTTTGAAAATGCAAACCCTGTTTGTCAGAACTTGATTCGGTCAATCAGAAAAACTGGAAGCATTTCAGATTTTATTAAACAATGTTCTGACGTGGGACCCTCCTATATGCAAGGGATTGCCTTGGCAGCTGCCCTAAAGGGAGAAACGCTTCCTCAATGCATGATGAATATGGTTCAGAAAACAAAAAACCCTAAGGGGCCAAAGGGAAATAATTGTTTTGCTTGTGGAGGCGCCGGCCATTTCAGTAGGGAATGTCCTAATAAAAATGCGCCTCCAGCAGGTCCTGTTAGAATGATACCTTCTGGTAATGTTGGGGTCCCAAAGACTCCTTGCCAAAGATGTGGGAAAGGAAATCATTGGACTAAATTGTGTAGGAGTAAATATCACAAGGACGGACACATTCTTCCCCTTAATGGGGTTTCTACAGTGCCTCAGGCTGGAGCTCAGATGCCAATGTATCCTACACCTGTTTTTCCAGATACACCTGCTGGAACTAATTCGGGAAACTTACTTCGGGCCCAACCCCGGGCCCAACAAACAATAGGGGCAATTCACCAGACGCTCAATCCCTTTCTTCCCTCAGGGGAATTGATGAATTGTTCAGGGCCACCCCAGGCAGCGCAGGATTGGACCTCTGTGCCACCTCCGCAACAATACTAACTCCTGACTCTCCAGTCATAAAAATACCAACTGGGATTAAAGGTCCATTACCCCCAGGAGTAATGGGTTTAATTATTGGTAGGAGTTCAATTTCCTTATCTGGTTTAACAGTTTTGCCTGGAGTAATTGACTCTGACTATACAGGAGAAATTCACATAATGGTGGCTCCCTCTAATAAGACACAGCAAATTTATGTGGGACAAAGAATAGCACAGCTGTTATTACTACCATATTATAAGACAGGAAAGAATATAACTCAAGAAGCTAGAAATGAAAAGGGATTTGGCTCCAGTGATATGGCATTTTGGATTCAAGAAATTACCAAAAATAGACCTTTAAAAACTTTAAAAATAAATGGAAAAAATATTCAGGGTCTCTTAGACACAGGTGCCGATACTTCCTGCATAGCAGGAAAAGATTGGCCTAGCAGCTGGCCCACCCAGCATACTGATAATATGTTAACAGGCCTAGGAACTGCGCCAGCAGTAGCTAAGAGTGCCCAAATTTTAACTTGGAAAAATCCCGTCAATAAACAAGCAGGCTCCTTTTGTCCTTATGTAATACCTGGCCTGCCAATTTCCCTCTGGGGAAGAGATATACTTATGCAGATGGGAATGCTTTTATATAGTCCAGATGACTGGGTCTCCTCACAAATGTTAAGAATGGGGTATGATCCAGATAAAGGCTTAGGAAAAAACCAGGAGGGAAGATTATATCCTGTGGTTGCTGAGCCCAAAAATGATAAACATGGAGTGGGCTATCCAAATTTATAACGGGGGCCATTGTTTTAAAAGCAGCTGACCCCATAGTATGGCTTTCAGAAGAACCTGTGTGGGTAGAACAATGGCCCCTAACTTCTGAGAAATTAGCAGCTGCAAAAGAATTAGTGGAACAGCAACTATTGGCAGGACATATAGAACCTTCTAATAGTCCTTGGAATACTCCTATATTTGTTATAAAGAAAAAATCGGGAAAATGGAGATTATTACAAGATCTTAGAGCAATAAATAAAACCATGGAAACAATGGGGGCTTTACAGCCTGGACTTCCCTCTCCAGTAGCCATCCCTGAAAATTATGCTATTATAGTTATAGACTTGCAAGATTGCTTTTTTACAATCCCCTTACATAAGGAGGACAGAAAGAGGTTTGCGTTTAGTGTGCCTTCTCCTAATTTTACCAGACCATACCAACGGTATCAGTGGAAAGTTTTGCCGCAGGGCATGAAAAATAGCCCTACCTTATGTCAGAAATATGTAGACCAAGCCATATGTAATATAATACAAGCTTCTCCAAAACTTTCGGAGAGAAAGCCTTCATTGCCTTCTCGTTCACGAAAGAGAAGGTATGCTATCTCCACCACTGAAGCGGCTCCGATAACCTGGGGGGCAATTAAAAGGCTTTGCCTGAATGCTGAAAATGCTGTGAATGCTCAAGGATTGCCTTTGACGACTGCTAATTTTTTTGTGGCTATGCTTAGCTTGCTTTCGGTTCAGGTAAGTGCCAATGGTACGTATTGGGCTTACTTTCCAGATCCTCCTATCTTACATGCATGTACTTGGAGAGATTCTATTATTCCAGTAACTTCCTCATTTCCTGAATTGACCGATGGCATTCGAGGAATGCAGGGCTATAAACAATTTGTAATCAATTTTAATTACTCATTTACAGGTCAGACTGACTTTCCTCCAATATGCTTTTTTCTTGGCTCAGGGTCAATAGGAAATAGTCAAACAAAGAATGGGTGTTTGTCAGTAGTTGATGCAGGATTCTTGACAGACTCCCCTAAAGAGCCAGTAGGAAGAGATAAAACCACAAGATATCTATAGTCATTGTTAGGAAAAGTTGTAGGACAAAATCAAGTTTATGTTAATAAATATCCAGCTATGAAATGCCCGAGGTCGCGAGGCCCCTCCACAAGACCACCAGAGTCGAGAGTCAAAGCCAAACGGCAAGGGTCATTTATTGCAGGTTCGAACCTGGACCTCCGCGCACTCGTTGCCGGTGACGCTAAGAGGTCCTGGCGGAGTTTAGTACAGCTCTTTTATAGACCGGTACAAACATAGTTGCCGATTGGTTGACTTTTAAACAAAGACACTAGTCGCCGATTGGTTGACTTTTAAACAGAGACACTAGTCGCCGATTGGTTAACTTTTAAACAAAGACACTAGTCGCCGATTGGTTGACTTTTAAACAGAGACACTAGTCGCCGATTGGTTGTACGGTTGCGGGGGGGGGGGGGTCAGCAAGCGTAATTACAGAAGCGAGAGCGGCTGGTTAAGTTTCGGTTTCCTGAGGTTTTGTTTCTCAATTGGAAATACTTAAGGCGGGGCCATGGTCGCAAAAAGAAATAGTGCAAACAGGAGGACTGATGCGACCCTAACAGTGCTGCGGCCTCCACCAGCCCAACGGCAGGGCGGCGGGAGGCTGTGCGCCCAACTTCAGGCGGCGCTCCCAAATGTGGCAAGCCCAGCGCTGCGCCCTGGAATGGCCCTTTTTCGGCCCTTCTCCTCCGGAAAGAACAGAAAAGAAATTCCGGGCGTCAACTCAGTCCTATTCCCACCAAAGTAGAACATAGCCCCCTCAGCTAAAGATGTTCATCCTCCTAGATATGATGATTGTGATGAGGCTGCAGGGAAAGCTACAGATGAATGGATTTGGAAAGATATTAAAACTGGATATCCTTCATGGATATATTGTATGTATAATAAAGAAAATAAAATATCCATTCCTGGAACTAAATATTATATTTCAGATTGGAGTATTAATTTTCCTGAGGGAGATTATAGAACATATTTAGAGAAAGGCATATTATATCCATGGAATGATTCCTATATTCCCCGTCCATTGAAGGTAAATAGATGGAATAGTCATGGATGGGTGGCTCCTATTTATACTTTTGTTTATGAAAATAAAACCTATTATCAACCTCAGTTATGGAGATTACCCTTAACCACTCGTAAAATAACGTTAATTAGAGCTACTACCCATGTGGAAGAGTACTATATTCAAACCTGTGTGTCATCTCCGTACTCCCTGTTGCTTTCTAATGATAGTGAAAAATTACAGATTATGCAATATAATATGAGGTTTTATATTACCTGTCAACAATGCATACTGACCACTTGTATTGTTCCTGAAATGAATGTGTCAACCATAATGGTGTTAAAAAGACCAGCTTATATTATGCTGCCAGTAGCGCTTAATGAATCTTGGTATACAGATATAGGGGCGGAAATTGTAAGACAGGTTGGAGAACTCATAAGGCCAAAAAGATTTGTGGCTACTTTGATTTTGGGAATTTCCGCCTTGATAGGAATACTGAGTTCTTTTACTGTTGCAACATATACTTTAGTAAAAGAAGTACAAACAGCACAATATGCAAATGATTTATCAAAAAATGTATCCTTGGCTTTAGCAACCCAGGAAGCAATAGATAGAAAGTTAGAAGCTAAAGTTGATGCCCTTGAGGAAGCAGTTTTACATATTGGCCAAGAACTTACAGCCTTAAAAATTCGTCTATCCCTAACTTGCCATAAAAAATATTCCTGGATATGTGTTACTTCTTTAAAAGTAAATCATTCTGAATATTCCTGGGAGAAAATTCAAATGCACATTTTAAATGTGTGGAATTCTAGTGATTTGGGAATTGATTTGGAACATTTACACAAACAAATTCATGATATTGCAGCCTCTCAATATGATATGAATCCTTCTAAGGCTGCTGCAGAATTTTTACAAAACTTACAAAGTTATTTTAAGGATAATTCCTTTATGCATATTTTAATAAATTACGGGGCTGCCGGAGTGGTTATAATTTTGCTTCTTATTTCTTTTCCAGTCATCATCCGATTAATTCAAACTGCCCTCCAGAGTGTATATAAAACCAAAGTGGAATTGCATACTGCTTTTTTTAAAAAAATAAAAAAGGGGGAGATGCCGGGAGCCACATAGGAAGTGCCTTTGAGTCTCAGCATGGACG